AATTTACCCGATTTATTCACAAATCTTTAACTATATTCTTAATAACTTTTACTAGATAATGATGAGTAAATATTACATGAATTTCTAGCATTTAAATTTACTTACCAAACGTTAGCGCAAATCTTTTACAGGATTTTATCTAGTAAATCTTGCAAGTTATTTTTTACAGTGTACTGTGCACACAAAATAAGTTGCATATGAACTTAGAGCATGGATTAGGATTTGTACAATGTGGTTTTATGAATTAATACTGAGCTTAATATCTATTTCTGCTCCAAAGTAACAAATGTTACAGCAGTTAATAAACTGATAATCTATATCTAAAATTTCATGCAGCAAAATAAGACACTTCAGAGGCAGACAGCCTGACTAAACAAAGGCCTCGACACACAACACTTGAGCAGAGTGAAGCCTCCACATATGGTATGGAATGTAACAGATTCAAGCCAAGCTCCAAAACAAGAGCTCAGGCTCTGAGGAGAAAGCGAACAATAGATGAGATCCAAACCTGCAACGTTCACATTTTTTGGGTTTCCCTACAGAGCTCGCATTATTTGATTGTAACCAGATGAATTGGATTCTTATTTTAAAACCCCAACACTGTTGGTGGCTGATTCAGAAATTCAAACTCTGCAAAGAAATTGTTGAGGGGGAAGAGTTTGCTGTACAGTTATTTTCATGGTCAAGGCTGAAATTTAGGAGAAAGCAAGAAGTTTCCATGGCCTGACTTACGCTGGTGTTCAGGTTAGTCTCTTCTTCCAGTAAGGGTCTTTGTGAGGAACGGATGTGTAGGATTCTCAGATCCAACTCATTATTGGGGACATTTAAACACAGAGTGAGGTTAACTTTATTTAAGGCAGGGGTGGGCAAACCTGGTCCTCGAGGGCCGCACCCTACGTTTTATGTTTTCCCTGCTCCAACACACCTGATTCAGACATTTAATTGCCTCTTCTGCAGTATGGAGGACCGACACTGACATAATTAGAAATAAAATCAGACATACTGCATATAAATGGACCAATAAATAAATAAATAATTAAATACAATCAAAAATGTGGCAATTAAATAAAAAGGAGAGCTTTACCTCATGTTTTATAATTTTATTGACCTTCATATTTATTTTTCCAGCTTAGTTCCAACAAACTATACAATTTTGAACATAATTTACATTTTACTGTGTATATACATATACTTTGAATGATGTTCTCCTTTTGAATTGGATGAGTGCCCTTTAAGTGTATTTATTTATTTACTAGCCAATTTAAATATTTCTGCTTTTATTTCTAGTTATGTCAGTGTCAGTCCTCCATACTGCAGAAGCCTTTCATTCAAATCAGGTGTGTTTAAGCAGAGAAAAAAGTAAAACATGCAGAGCTGCGGCCCTCGAGGACCAGGACTGCCCACCCCTGATTTAAGGTATTGTGTAACTCAATGGGCAGGTGGTGGGAACCATTAAGACAGAAGGTCATGGAAGCAACAGCTGACATTAAATTAAAAAATGATAAGGTTTTAATTGTGTCCAGTGTCAGGCAGGAGTTTGTGCTGCAATATTAGTCATCCCGTCCTTGCGGACGGAGGCCTACCTGTTGTTGCTGTCACGTGGTTTGTCAGCCCAGGGTCTTCTGCAGACTCCAGGGGGAGGGCACGAGGGTAAAGGTGGAGGAGGAATAGATGGTAAAGGAGGCAGGTTCCTCTTTGCTTTTCCAGAGAAAGAGCCTGCAGTTGTTGTGGGGTGCTGAAACGTTCTCTGAGGTTTGGGTAGCGGGTTTATAGACGGAGCACCAGGCTCACAGTAAACATTCTCCGAATCCCCCTGCCTTCTCCTCTGAAATGCTCCGGGTCGAGTCTTGTCAAAAGTCCCAAAAATGGGTTCACTGGTTTTCTTCTCTGTTTCCTCCAGCTCGTCTTTTGAAGGAGGACTGAAGTAATTCCCTGGAAATGCCAGTGAGGGTCTGCTCGGCACTTCTTTTGTTGCCTTTTCTAGTTTTTTAACATGAGTGAGAACTGTTTTCTTGTCTTGGGCTTCTGTTGCTTTGGAAGCACAACACCTCATGTCTTCCTTCTCTTTGCTTGTCGGACATAAATCCACCAGTTTTCCAACATTCTCTTTCCCCGAGTCTTGTTTGTCCCAGCTGACAAACCTCTTGCTGTCCGTCCTTTGGACATCAGAAACTTTGGACTCCTTTGTCCTCACAGTCCCAATTTCCTTCTGCGTTGCACTGAGTGGACTTGTTCCCATTAAAGTCACAGGCTCCTTTTTGCCCTCCCACTGTGAAATCTTATCTCGGATGCTGGCAGGTTTGGCTCCTGCTGAGCTCTTGTTGTGGTTCAGCCCGTTCTCCATGTTGGGTGTTCCCTGGCCATTGATGGACGGGGTTCTCCTGTGAGCCAGCATGGTGTTGGGAGGACCCGGGCTGTCACTGAGCCTGAGCAGGGGGGAAAGAGGATGCTTGGTGGTCTCAGCAGCGCCCTTGATGTCTCTGTACCCCAGGGACCCACACACCTCTAAAGGCTGGGGTATCACAGGTGATGGAGCCTCCCCAACCTTCAAGCCACAGCACTGGAGCCTTTGAAGGAAACAGAAACAAAATGAGAGGTTCGTCCTCATTTACAGTATGTGTACACAGTATGAGTATACAACTACAATACTAAAACCTTTTTTAAAAAGCTAAAACATTTACCGTTTTTATTCATGTATAATACGATCTCATGTATAATACGATCTCATGTATAATACGATCTCATGTATAATACGATCTCCCCCCCCCTTTTTGAGCTTAAAAAGCATAAAAAAATGAATCCTCAAACTACCTCCAATTTCATCCAGACGAAGATATTTCAGCCTTTGCAGTCTTTATACATATCAGTAAAATGATCATTGGACTGTTCATTTTATTTTAACAACATATGTACTAAAAGGTATTTTGACAACAAATATATATCAGCTGTAGCAGCATCATATGAATTCTGGCATTTTACACATAGTCCACCAGGAGGCGCCAACACAAAAGTCAGAGACTTCACATGAGATTTGGACCATCTTGTGGGGGAAAAGCAGATTACTTCCTACTCACGAGCGCCCCCACTGGTGGGGAAACCTTTTTCAGGGATACAAACTTTTTCAGAACACCGGTAGATGGCAGCCATTACAGACGAACATGTGTTTGTTGTTTTCGAGGAGCAGCTCGGTCACACACTAATGTCATTAGTTTGTTATCATTACTAAGGTGCAGGACTGATTTTTCCCCTTTTTT